AAACTATTCATGTACTGTTGACAATCATGATATAAATACAATAAGTCCTTTGAAAATATTCAGGAAGTACAGTAATAAATCAAACTTTCATTTCCAAGTACATTAGAAGCATATTTAATTTAGGAAGTGTTACCATTTTGTTTAGGATCTCATTAATATAACTATGAATGGAAAAATTATATAAAAATGGTCTGAAGACATAGATGTAGATTCATGTGGCTCAAGATTGGTCCAGTGGTCAGTTCTTCTCAACACAATAATGAATGTTAGGATTGTATGAGAAATGGCCAATTTGTTTGCTATTTTAGCTATTGTTCCCTTCTGAAGGATTTGTTCCGTGAAAATTGGTATATCACTTGCAGTTAATTTTTCTAGAAATATATTTATATTTTTACTTTCAGATAATCCTGAATCTTCCATTGAACGCTTGAAGAAAAAGAAAAATTCTGGGGTTAAATTTCGGAAAAAGAATGGGCAGAAATGTGACAGCAGAATTCCTGGTTCTGATGTGACACGTCGTCAGAGATTGGATCTGAAGGGCCCCAGAGTCAAGCACGTGTGTCGTAGTGCATCCATTGTTTTAGGCCAACCACAAGCAACCTTTCCACTGGATAAAAGAGCCGAGAAAATTCAAGTCAAACCAGTTCAAGGTAATGATACCAACATGTATACTATTTTTAAATAATCCTGGATGTAGTTTTTTGTGTATACTTATTTGGTTCCAGTATTGATGGAATGAAACAAGTTTTATTTTCCATTTTGTTAACTTGAAAATGTTTCCATTCACATTTTTAATGAAATATTAATGCCTGTGGTTGTGAAGATAACATGTTCGGTTTTACTTTTTTATTTCTCACATTCAGTAGGTTGATTTTCTTTTCGTGTGACTGATGATCTTAATGTTCACCCACCACTTACTCCGACAAAGATATAGTTAGTATTTTGTGCACCTGCTCCAAATGATTAAGTGATTATTGCTAAAGTTTAATTGTTTAAAAGTTTTCATCCAACGTTGCTTTATAATATTTCGTTAAGAAAGTCCAAGAAAACAAATAGGTATTGGAACTGAATTTGGTGCATCAGCTTCTCCTCAATACAGATGAACACACAAACTGTTATATGCTAGTAAGGAAGTTGCTGCAGAAGTAAACATAGAGGAAACTAAGTGTATGTTCAAGTTCCATTACTAGATTACAGAAAACATCATCATAAAAGGGTAGCTGATAAATCCATCAGAAATGTGGCAAGGTTAAAATATTTGAATATACCATAGCGGAGGAATTAAGAACAGATTAAATTTGGAGAATGCTTGCTATCTTACAATTTAGAATCTTTTGTCTTCCCATCCGTTGTCTAAAAACATAAATAGTAAAATATACTAAACTAATTGTATCTGTTGTTCTGTACAGGTGTGACACTTGATCCCTTATATTAAGGGAAGAACTGTCATTGAGGGTATTGAGGAGAATATTTGGACCAAAGACTGATGAAATAGCAGGAGGCTGGAGATAATGCATTAGTAGCTCTGTAATTTGTACTCTTTACCAGATATTTCTAGGATGGTGAAATCATGTCAGATGAAATGGGTGACTTCTTTAGCACATATGAGGGATGTGATAAATGCTTTACAAAATGTTGGTTTTAAAGCCTGATGGGAAGAAACCATTCAGAAAACATAGGCAGAGAATAAGAATAATATTGAAATTAATTTTATGCTCCGAATAGAACTATCCTGATTGTATTGTTGTAAAGTATTTCTGCCTTTGTTTGAGAATAAAATTAACTAGAATTTTCTTACATGCTGAGATGAGTGTGTTCAGTAAATACATTTAATTCACTGATTTTGGCATATTGTAGAATTCCGTAGGGATTCCTTATCTCTTCATGTGTAAAATTTGGCTTTTGAATTCATAAAATTAATTTGGTAAAAGATTTCAGTTTTCTGCGAAATGGAAGTTGCATGACTGTAAGACAGTTCCTCAATTTTTACTGGCATTGGCTTAGATCATCACACCATGTTTCTTCCTTATTTTAACATATTAATTTGTGACTATAATTTCAAAATTTGTGTAATATTATTAAATGTTACTTGTTTAATTAACATGTTAAATTATTATTACAGAATTCAGCAAAGCGCCTCCTAGGAGTTCCTGTTGCCTGGATTGTATGGGTCCTAGCAGTTCTACAGTCAAAATACATGATGTAGAAAAGTTAGTATTTATAAAATGGAATGCCAGCTCTAAGTTTTTATCTTATTGTTAGTGTATTAAAATTCATTTACCCTTTGAAGCTCATCTAAATAATTTTTAAAGACTCACTTCTTACCTTAAACTAGTCACAAAACTTCTCCATGGCAAATATCAGGTGTGTCATGCTGTTTACTATGGTAATCATATGAAATCCCTAAATGCGCTCATTGGGAAAATTTGGTAAAATATTAAGTAGTTAATAATTGGTTTTCATGTTTTAACTATGACAATTATAGTTTGATCAGTAATATTTTTAGGGATGTGTGGCCTGTTTGAATTACAGAATTCACAGCAGAGAGTACTATTCAGTTGAATTTGTTTCTAATGTCATTAATAATTGGTTGATGACTGCAGTATGTACTTTTAGCATATACAATATACAGGGTGGCGCACGAGATGTTGAACCATTTGTTTTTCATTTTTTGGTCGTACTTTTATAACGAGATATTTCAAACTTTGCGCATAGATGCAGTGATTTATGGAAAGTCCCCTAGGGTTCAGCACTGATCAGGTGGTTAAGATGGCTGACAATGGGAGGCTTACTGTTGAACAAAGAGCGAAATTGGTGCTTTTGTAGGCAGAAACGAAGAGTGTGATTGTTACACAGAGACGTTTTCGTAAACATTTCGGCACAAGGTGGGCTCCCGCTAAAAACACAATCTATAGATTGTTTCAGCTGTTTGAAAATAACGGAACAGTGTTAGAACCAAAGCGCCGACGTGTTTCTCAAGTCCGTTCACCAGAGAACGTGGAAGCTGTGAGAGTGACAATGGAACGCAGCCCCACCAAGTCAACAAGAAGAGCTGAAGCCGAACTGCTGCAGCCGAACTTGCAATCTCTCGTCGCTCTATTCAACGGATTCTCCATTCGGACCTTCATTTATTCCCGTATAAAATGGCGAAAATTGGCGAAAGAATACTGTCCCACCGCTTTCCTCAGCGCCATCAGTGTGGCCAAATTTGGCCACCTCGCAGCCCCAACATCAATCCCTGCGATTATTTTCTTTGGGGATTCTTAAAAGAACAAGTCTTCCATCAGCATCCTGAAAGTCTGGCGGAACTCAGAACCCGTATCATGCAAGTCTGCAGCACAATCGATGAAGATCTGTGTCGACGAGTAGTGCAGAATGTGAACGTTTGTCTTGAAGAGCGGGTGCGACAAAACGGTGGCCACATTGAACATGTTCTCCATTAATACCAAATCTCCATGCTTTTGTATTTCAAAGATTATGTAGCTTGTAAACTTATGTGGTGTAATATTGAACTAAACCTAAATATAAATAGTTCAACATCTCGTGCGCCACTCTGTGTGTGTGTGTGTGTGTGTGTGTGTGTGTATGTATGTATGTATGTATGTATGTGTATATATATATGCATGCGCACACACACAGAAATTCTTTTTACTCTTTGCTTTTTAGAGTCTGGCAGGGTTTTTTTTAAGTCCCTGCAGTTTGGCTGTTTACACTTCTTTCTTCTCTCCATATTATTATTCTTTCCATAACCCCCTTCATTTGGTGGTACTACATCATCGTTTATGACTTTCTGGTATGCCAGGTTTTACTTCTTTTCTGAACCTGCTATTGGTATTCTGCTACTACTCCATACACCGAAGTAGAATGTTACTGTTAACGTAGTATAACATTTAATTTCTTGCCTTGTTGTTTTAAGGGTTTGACATTTAAGAATAAATATATTTTTAATATGTATGTCCTAAATGTCATTGAATTATTACCTTATTTCCCTTAGGAATTCTCAGAGTCAAAGTGTTGGCGATGTGGGCAGGTCAATGAAGGTGTCGGCATCTGTCAATGCTGAGAGCTTTGAGAATAGCGAGCGTATGAAGTTGATATCTTCTACAGATACAGCATCAAACAGTCAAGATGAAGAACTTTCAGTATCTTCAACCTACCGTAGGTCTAGCAAACCAACTCTGTCATCCACAACAGTCCCACAACAGTCGCCGTCAGTATCAGTGCTGCCAATATCACCTATGGTATGTGCATCACAAAATTAAAATATTATAAATTAGGCATTTAATCACATAAATAATTATATACGTGCAGATTACAAAAGAACTTTGAACTTTCAAAATAATACAGAAAACATGTGGTGTACTTAGTACTGAATGGATTTCAATGAAATTCAGTATTGTGAGCTGTCTGCACTAAAAATTGTGAGATAAATTTAATTTGGGTTCATGTTTATGCAAAATAAGTCCCAGGTAGCTGCCCTATAGAGGCTCCTAATGTTCCAGGTACCAAATCTCATGTCCTTTTTCAATTGCCGTGGTCGTGCCAAAGAGTCCGTCCTGATCCGAGGCTTGGTTGATTTTTTCGTAACACATATTTTTTTTTTTAAAGGTGAAAGGTTGTTAGCCCTACACCCAACCCCCAACCTGGAGGACCAGGGTATCACTCTTAGTCTAGCGCATCTCCTTAGACCTGTCCGGCTTGGGTGACCCTACCATGAGCCGAAGCTCAGGCCGGCATAGCCCTAAGGGTCATTTGAGCACGCAAGCCTCCTCACCCGGCAGATTGCCTTCGACAAGGTGGTGATACCTTCGAGAAGGCAATTGCAAAGAATATGTATTGAAATTATATATATACAAAATTCGAGCACACTTTTCCATACTGAGCTACAGTTTCTAGTTGTACAACTCTCATGCAGTCTTAAGTAATTACAATTTTTCATGGTGTCTATAAACAAAATGTAAAAGACTCTTACTGTTCCATCTAACATACACATACCAATTTCCTTTATGCCACGACACATTCAACATAATAACATTACTGGATTACTTAAAGTTGCAAATTTACCTGACTAATGTGTGTGTGCGTGTGTTTTTTATTATCATCATCATCATCATCATCATCATGGTTGGGGTCTGTAGTGGCCGTGCGGTCTGAGGTGTGGGCTTTGTGCCGCTTGGACCGTGGGTTTGAATCCCACTCAAGCCATGGATGTTTGTCCGCGTTTTTCTGTGTCGTGCTGTCCTGTGTACAGGTAGAGGCCTTGTGACGGGCCGATCCCTCGTCCAAGGAGTCCTACCGAATGTCTACACAACGAGCCAACGAAAAGTTGGGTCCCGCAGTGCTCAGGCACTTGAAGAACGGGCCGTTCCCAGTATCCCAGTATGGTTTCATAGTTATTTGGATAATTATGCCATTCATATACATTAATCATTATTCGTTCTATATTCTTCTGCAGTTTTATCAAGAGTCACCTGATGATGACATAATTACATTGAAACATGAAAGGAAATTGTTCAATGGAACAATACTGGTTTTGTATTTTAATTAATTATTTATTACTCGTGAAAAATCTACAGAGCTTGAAAAGTTGTGGAATTCTGACACATAAAATTTGTGCATTATGTATACCAACTAACTAAATTCACTTGCATTTGTATTCCAATTACTTAAAAAATAGGAGTCTATTTGTAATATTGGGTTTCTGCCTATCATATTTGCCCTTAAAATGTCATGATCATAGTTTTATCAAGATGCTGAAAAGTTATATGTTTTTGCTCTTCCCAGCAGTTTTTATCCGTGAGGAAATGCATTTTTTTTTCCTAATTCTTATAATATAATGGTATTTCCGTTTACCTCCTGTCCCTGTTTACTGCAGGCTTTCTGAATTTATGACTCTGATTTCTGGTTTGTGCTGTATCTTTCCCAGAATTAAAAGAATTAACTGAAGTTTTGATGTAATTCAGAGCCACGTAAAGTTCAAGTTGACTTCATCATTCTCACACACAACATTTTAAATATTTTGTCTTTGCTTATTATTTGTGTTACAAATTATGTGGTTGATTGAAGGGATTTAACTTCTTTTTTGCTTCCTTCCAGGTCAGAACATTACCAGTTCTTGGGAAACGAGCTGTACCGGATGTACAAAACCTTGTGTCTATTGACTTCTGGGAAAGCTATGATCCTGAAGAAGTTTGCAATACAGGGTTTGGACTCATTGGTTCAGATCCATTCCATGTTAGGGCTATGTGCTTTTTATGTGGCAGTGCAGGCCATGAAAAGGTAGAGTCATTGTACTACTTGTGTTTGTGTTTGTGGTGTTTGCATGTTGTATTTATTTTAATACCATAATAATCTTAAAAAATGAATGATTGTAAAGAACCCTATTAGTATCTAGTTTCTTGGCTCCTTTTTCATTATACAGAGCATTTGAAGTATTCACTATTTTCTTTGTCAAAGCTACCATATTTTATTAAATTTCTGCAGTAAAAATGTATAAGAGTATAAAATTTGAAATTTATGTATATAATGATATGACTCACATGAAGTGAAATACGGTGGACTCCAGTTCGTAGGGACTAGAACACTTTTGCCCAATTAAGCAGCTGCCCCAATGTTAAGACTTGGTCAAATGTGGAAGTGGAAATTAAAATACATCAAACCTCTCAAAACCACCCACTCCAGGAACAGGAGAAATACAAAATATTGCCTCCTCTACCATATCTGTCTACTGCTAAAGTCTCTGTGGTCCAAGCATATAGCCCAAAAAACAAAGCCTTGGAAGTTCTTAGAAGAGTCTGTCCAGAGAAACTAACCTTCCTTGAGAGTTGGCAACTTCCTGGCTGATGAGGGGGATCAAAATCAAAGAAATTTCCAAACTAGGCTGGCTGATGGGATTTGTAAGACTCACATCCAGTTCTCAAAATGTGTATTTTTAACATCAGATGATGGACAAGGTTCAGAAACTCATCAGTCCACACACTATTGTCAGAACCCTTCAGAATTGATTGGTAAAGCGCTAGAAAAGCTATACAGGTTGGTTTCTCAGAAGACTGTGTTCTTCTGATATATTGATTGCAATATGTGATTGACTTCCATCAAAGGGGGGAATTTTTAGGCACAACTGTGTAGTTTTAACCTTATCATAAGTTATCATTTTAATAACAAATATGGGTCATTACTGATATTTTAATTTCTTGTTTACACAGCTCATCCACTGTGCATCTTGTTGTGAGCCGTACCACAAGTTCTGTCTTGAAGATGGTCTTCGTGACGCCAGTTTCTTATCTGATGGTAACAATGCAAACAGCAATGAAAAATGGCAGTACAATTGGGTCTGTCAGCGTTGTACAGTTTGCCATTCTTGTGGTCGTGGTCTTGGCCAACAGCTTAGTTGTCAGCGTTGCCATCGAACATACCACACTGAATGTTTGGGTGCGGATCGGCTCAGTAGTAGACTGCATAGTCCAGATAGACCATGGGTAAGGGAGAAAAACTTTAGAATTTCTACATGTGGTAGTAGAGTACATGTACAATTGTGGTAATTTTTGTTTTTTTACCAGTTCTGTATGAACATCTGGAAATTAGCTGTAAAATTATGTGAATGTTAGAAATGATCAGGAAATATTTATTACAATATTTGAAGGGGGCTAAGTGAAACCAAGAAAAATCCAGGATAATTTTTACTTTTTGTTTCTTGGATATAAAACGGAAGTGATAACCAATTCTGACGGGAATTTGTATTCTTAAAGATCTCCCTGAACTTTTTATTTTATTTATTATTAACTGCAAATGGGTTTTTACCCTGTGGCAGTGGTACTACAATAAGACAACAAAACAACACACCACACTCAAAATAAAACAACTGATAAGAACTACCGATATGCAGTATACAAAACTTATAGAAATAATAAGAGGTAATATTTTAATATATTATACTGTTCTCTAAACAAAACTTGTAAAAGTTATATTTAATATAAACTATTAATATGATGTATTATAATATTATATAAAGCAATACTGTAGAGAATATAGCCCAGTAAGGGTACTTCACAGTGTTGATGCCATTTGTATCACACCTGACTGTTGTGAGCAAAGAATTTAGTGGCCAGAATTTTCATTCATATTTATATGGCCCTTTCCTTTTGTAAATGTATCCCCCTCCCAACTCTTAAAATTTATATACCATATTTATTTTTTTTAGGTTTGCTCATCTTGTTTACGGTGCAAAAGTTGTGGAGTGGCAGATGTAACTCATTTTGTTGGAAATCTCCCTCTTTGCAAAATATGCTTCAAGCTGAGACAGAAAGGAAATTACTGTCCACTCTGTCAGAGATGCTATGAAGATGATGACTATGATACTAAGGTAAAGAGGTTGTTAAATTATAAGTAAATGTCATTTGTTGTCAGAATAGCCAGAAGTTTTACTACAGAATTCATGTATATTTTTCACATACGAGTTGCGATCGGAACGTTTACAGACTGTGTCAATAGAGGGCGAACCGGATGTAGTACGAGCTTCTGCCGCTAGGGGGTGTGGCCTACATTCATAGTGAATCAGTGTGCCAGCCGGCATCTTCGAATTAGCATTTGTTTCTTAGTTACGGGCGTTTTGGTAGTGCATTACACCGACCCTCCTGCGATTTCGGAATGGCGTGTGCATCAAATTTTGCCAAATACTCGCCAAAACGGCTACGGAAACCTATGAAATGCTAAAGCAAGCATTTGGGGAGTCCGCAATGGGTCGTGCACAAACTTTTGTGTGGCATTCACGTTTTAAAAAGGGCCGAACCCCTGTCGATGATGACGAGCATTCTGGACGACCATCTTCGAGCACAACGCCCGAAAATGTTACCAAGATTCGGCAGGCCATTCACGAAGATCGACGTCGTACCATCAACGACTTGTGCGACATTGTTGGGACCTGTCAGCTGATTCTAAAGGAAGAACTCCACATGCGACGCATCAAGACAACGCGCCAGCGCACACCGCCCTCAAAGTTCGGCAGTTTTTGGCCTCAAACACAATGGCCGTCATCCCGCCCCCTCCTTATTCGCCGTGTGACTTCTTCCTCTTCCCAAAGATGAAAATTCAGCTAAAGGGAAGGAGATTTGAGACGATAGAAGAGATTCAGGCAGAATCGCAGATAGTGCTTGATATGAGAATTGTTTAAAAATTGAAAACTGGGCAATTGGACTGTGTGGTACCAGAGCAAATGTCCATTTCACAGAAGGATGTAAGCAGTTTCTCTTCGTGAATGAGTTGGCTAGAGAATTAAAATGGCAAGGTGTGCTATATCTAAGATGTCTGTGCCTTAATCCACTGTCAAGGAATATGCATTGAAATTGCTTTGCAGTTTCCCTGAGCTGATTTTGCAGATTGTCAGCAAGGTCCTGGATTTGGTGAATTGCAGTGGAGTGGCAAAGGACGACAGGCTTAAGTCGTTGAACCTTACTCGAGCAAGACTCCTCACCTCCTGTTGTCAGTCCTTCTGTTACAAATTCTTCATTTCTAGAAGCTTTTGTCTTCCATACAGTTTATACTGTGATTTTGTAGCTAACAGTTGATTGATTTGCTTGTTTCAGAATTCTCACCCTGCGGAACAAATTTGATAAATATAAATGAACTGAATGATTATGTATGCACTGAACAGTATTGTAGAAAACATGTATAAAGTTTGGTTTATAGGTTTGGGTCATAGAATGACAACCCTGTTAGCACGTTCCTACCTGACTGAAGTCAGCAGTATAATTTTCAGCCTTCTAATATGAAATTGCATGGCATAGTACAAGGCCTTAAGTCTAGTGATAATGTCTTGAGTTTTTCCATCTCAGTTGCATGTTCCTCCTTTCCTCCTACACTTTTCAGTCTTTGATGTGATGTGAAATGTGTTGCTGCAGGTATTACTTTTTATATGATTCACTACTTTTAAAGAGAGAAACAAACTAATCCATTGCATTCAGTAAAAATATATGTCTCTTCCCATGTAATGTTAAAGTAAATTCTAAGTTTCGGTGGCCTATGTTTTGAGCTACCAGCACTCATATTTGTCTAACATAGTAGACAAATGTGAAATCTAAAACTAAACTGAGAAACCAGTGTATATTTTGACCGTAAACTGGCAGTCATATTGATAACATCTGCAGTGCATATGCTAGCAATATAAAACATGGATGCCACTGATTCTGGGTGCTTCTGTAGTGTGTGCCTGCAAGCCCTCCCTCATTCTTTTCCAGCTTAACCATCTATACCACCCTACCTGAACATAGACATTGGCTGGTGCCCATGCTGGTAATTTATGAGTTGAGCCAGCCTGCAGTATGCATTTGCCACAAGAGCAGTGGTCTTTTCAGAAGTTGGATAGGCCATACAAAATAGTATAATAACAATTTTAAGTGTGTAACATTGAAAGCATTGTCCAGCCTCCTGTTAAGCTGTTAACCTGTTTTATTTATAATGCATTGCATGCAAGTTCTGAAGTACCAGGATTGAATTTATATTATAGATGAGTATGGAGTCGACATTGGATTGATGGTCGCTGTTGGGGGTCTGCAATACAAAGCTTGAAGGAACTTGGACAAATAATTTTAAATGAAGAGATTAGAAGTTAGGATGTTGAACAAAATGTTTGAAACCTGAACTCCAAGCCCAGTTCTGCTAGACTAGCCTTTCCTTGACTTTTGTTCACCATGTAGTTATGCTGAGTTTTTATTACAGATGATGGAATGTGGCCAATGCAAGTGCTGGGTGCATGCCAAATGTGAGGGATTATCAGACGAAAAGTATCAGGTGCTGAGTTATCTTCCAGAATCCGTTGAGTTCATTTGCAGGTTAGTTATTGTTTTACCTTTTGTAAGTAAAAGTTTAGTGTACTGAATATAGTTACAGTTATACCCTGCAGCAGTACCTATAAAAAATCTTTGCAGAATGATTTGTGGTAGTGTCATGCCCAACACAGGAGTTTACACTTTGGTAATGACCATTAAGTCTGAATCATTTACTCTTGGGACAACTAATATGTCTTCACATTGTGTCTTAAAAACAGCCATATTTACCTGACAGTGGTGGGTATGAAGTGTTTGGACAAGGTAGAAGGTTGACTAGGATTGGGTGCCCTCTTTCCCACTGGTCCAACCAAGGTCAAGCCAGTTCTCATATCTAAAATTCAGTCCTTGCACGCATCTTACTAATCACCATGATTATAAAGGTAGCATGCTGCTCTGAAACATCCATTAACTTCAACAAGATTACATGGTGCAATATCCCAGAGGAGTCATCTCTGTAAAGTTGTTTGTTTGCATTTATTTGCATTAGGTCAGAGAAAATGTTGCTGGAAGCACACACACACACACACACTCATATTTATATGCTCTTCATATATGAGTTTTATGGTATGCCATGATGCCAGACATCCACTTTAGTCCTGAAGGTGGAGGCAGTATGTTTCTCCAAGACCATGTATAAAACTATGCCATGTTGCAACCCAGAAGACCACAGTTAAAATATTCATCACTATGAGAACCTCAGATCTTAGCTTCAGTTTGTGTGTGCTTGTGAAGCATTTTAATTAATGGTACCTGTTAAAAAGTAGTTCAGTATAAATGATGTAGTGAAAGGTTAGAAGTTCAAATTATTAACTGTTGTAGAATCTTCTTAAATAACAACGATAATCTTAATGATTAATGTGTGAGATATTAATATTGAATACAGGAAGTGAATTTGGGCCAGATAAGAATTTTCAAGTTCTTGTCAATTGTGGCTCTAGAAATTATGTTAGTAAGTCCGTATTAAAATATATAAGTTATTCCTTGAAGATAATTAATACCAAAGAAACATGTGACATGAAATGTCCCTTATTGAGTATTATAATATATTTACAATATTTTTTCATGTTGTTTTTGTGTAGGATGTGTTGTGCAATTCCTCCAGCTCCTTGGTGGCTTGCTGTGGAGGAAGAGCTGAAAGCAGGATACCTTGGTGTGTTGAAGTCTTTAAGTAAGAATCGTAAAGCCTGTGCTATGTTGAAATGGAGCCCAAAGAAGCAGTGTTTGTGTAGACCTACCTTAGTGGCAAAAAGACTGGAGTTTCAAGAGATTTCTGATAGAGACACTGAGACTGATGAACAGTCAGATTCTGCAAGAGAGGACAAGAACATTTCCATTATTCCAAGGAAGGAAGATTTACAGTCATCTCAGGGGGAAATAATTTCTGCAAGTAAAATAACTCATCCTCTGGAAAAAAAGTCAGATGAGACACAAAGAAATCAGCATAAAGTTGAAACAGATCACACTCTCTTAAATAGTGTATCACAGCCACAATTACCCATCACAGATTCTTTGACAAGTATAACAGTGCCAGGGATTGAAGAAAAATGCACTTTAAATGTTGAAGTTTCCTTACCTGATTCCTCTAGTTCAAAAGATTCCTCAGTTAATCAAACTGATATGAGGAATTTTGCAGAAAAGTCGCAAGTAACAAACATTAGCATAACTAACACCTTAAGACAGCTTAGAGAGAAGTACAATATACGTGATTGCTCAGTTCGTATTGAAAACTGTGTACCTAAATCATCTTCAAAGCAACCACTCACAGTTAAAATAGAAGATAATGACACTGGTTTTTCACCTGATTCTACATTCAGTGAGTGCAGCTCAAAATCACCAGCTAAAGTACAAGTAGTTTCATTGGCCACCCCAGCTAGTGATTCTGGAATTGGCAGTACAGATGATGAACTAAAACCAAATTATATAGAAGAAGAGCAGGAATATGCGAAAGATGAATGTTCAGAAGCAGCAGAGTTTTCTCCTTCAGTTCAGTCTTCGCAACTTCTGGAATTTGCCTACAGGAACAATAACTCCTCTGATGTAGAGAAATGTTCTGAAATGAATTGTGACACTTCTGAAAATGTTACCAGTGAATGCATCAAAGAATGTTATTGTTTAGACCAACATACATTAACTAAACCATCTCCAACACTTCTGTCTATTAAAAAGAAAGTAAATGCAAATGAATATTCATCACTTCTTCAGTTTCATCAAGAAATGGAACAATTGATTGCTAGAGCTCAGTGCCCTGAATTATTAGAAACCTATCACCACACACTTAAAGAAGTATTTCCCTGGTTTGATCCGAAATATGCTCGAGTATCTATCAACTGGAAGGAAGGAAGACCTGGTCATGAAGAAAGTCTTCCTTGTATTCCTGTTCATGTAGAACAGGATCATTCAGTTAATGAAGAATTGGTTACAGAACAAATCCATGTAACAAGAAACATTGGAGGAACTGAAGGCTCAAATCATATGGCATCCAAATGTATGGTTGGCAAGAGTGATGAGTATTACTACAGCGGTTTCACAGTTCAAGATCTACGAACTTGCACCCTCTGTAAAGGTGTGGGTGATGGTTTGCCAGTGGAAGAGGGCCGTCTATTATACTGTGGACAGAATGAATGGGTGCATGCTAACTGTGCTTTGTGGTCAGCTGAAGTATTTGAAGAGATTGATGGGTCTCTACAGAATGTTCATAGTGCTGTCTCTAGAGGCCGTATGATTCGTTGCCGTGCATGTGGTAAGAAGGGAGCAAGTGTTGGATGTTGTGCTCGGAATTGTGCTGAGACCTTCCATTTTCCATGTGCACGTCGAATTGGTTGTTCTTTCATGGACGATAAGACTGTGTTCTGTTCGGCTCATCTTATGGAAGCAGCAGGAAAACCACTCCATCTGGACATAGAATTTGATATCCGCCGTCCCATTTATGTGGAACTTGATCGCAAGAAGAAAAAATTTGTGGAACCATGTCAGGTGAAGTTTATGATTGGTTCCCTACTTATTGAAAACCTTGGAGAATTTGTCTCTGCCTCAGATCATAGTGACATCATAGTACCTGCTGATTTTCAGTGTACTAGACTTTATTGGTCATCAGTAGAACCCTGGAGGATTGTGCGATATTATGTGAGGACAATGGTACATAGGGCAGAGCCTCAGCTCATATTGGACCTGGGAAAGAATCTCACAGTGGATCATACTCAAGAACAGAAGCTAGTAAAACAGAAACTAGAAGAAGTGTCTCGATGGCATCAGCAGTTGATCTCACACCAGAAGAGTACTGGAAAGAAAATTACAGGCAATTTGGAAACTTTTAAAACAAAAATTAATCATCTTCCATCAGAAACACATACTGTCACACAAAGTCTAAAGAAACAGCCTAAAAAGACAGCAGAAGAAAAGGTTGTTCAACAAGTAATGGATCAGCTTTTGGATGCAGTTTGCAACAAGGATGTAGAGGATAGCTGTCTATCAGACCCTCAGAATACAGCAGATCTTTTGCCACCAGAACTAAAGGATGCGATATTTGAAGATATTCCTCATGACTTGTTAGATGGCATATCAATGCAGGATATATTCCCAAAACTTATGAGTTGTGAAGATCTGGCTGCTGTGGATTTGAAAAGTGACATCTGCTTTGGATCAGAGGTTCCTAAAGAAGAGAAAGAAGAATTGAGTGAGGATGGAATCCTAGACACTGAAGTTGAGCAAGTGTCTTCTTGTGAACTAGTGAAAGGGAGGAAGCACGAACAGTCCATTTCAGAGTTTGGAACCCAGACAGATCTGTGGTTTCACCAGTATTCTGACCCCAGAGAACAAGTTCAGGAGTTGGTTGAAGACTTTTGCCAAAATGTGTATATGAAAGGATCTATGCAGATGAATAGCTCAAGAGAACTAAAAAGGAGTAAATCAGAAGTTATTCCCCAGCCTGTCAGTAAGAAAATCGGAAGCAGTGGGAGGAGTCATCAAAGATCATGTAGTTTGACATGGAGCTGCAAGTTGGATGGTACGTTGACCAGTTCAGCTAAACGACGAAAAGGGACAAGGACAATGCCAAGGAGTGGAGGGGAAGGTGCCAGTAGTTTGGTGATGGTTGTGGATAGTGAAAGAGCACATATGCTTCAGGAGCTGCGACTTCCAGATGGTGTTCTTGTAGCATTGGCAAGATCTGGAACACCTGGTATGGCTTCGTCTGTTGCTGACAGTGTGCGGGAGCTCAAATACCGCCTGGAAGAAGAGACTGCATCTAGTGAGGTTACCACATCTGTAGGTCGATGGAGGTCCACTCACCAGAAGGAGGAAGGGAAGGAAAACAAATGCTTTTTGTGGCATGGACGTTCACAACCTCGGATATTGCAGCTGGATGGTGCCGTTGATTCCAATAGTAGCAGCAGTAGTGGCAGTGAGGGAGGTTCTCCAACGAGACAAGTGGATGTTGATGACCTGAACCTTTTCCCTCCTACAGGTCCATGCAAGAACTTGCATAATGCAATAGCTGAAAGGATTGCATGTGAAGAAGAGCCTGTGAAATGTGATCGTTGCCATCGTACATATCGTACTCGAACTAGTTTTGAACGTCACTTGCCAACATGCAGCAGTGATTTCATTTTGTCTACCAGTGAGAGTGATTCAGAAAATACAAGATCAAGTGAGGAAGAAGGAAGTAAGAAACAGAAGTTCCCCCCAGTAAATTGTCAGAATGATAGTAGTCCTGCAGTGCAGCTTGATAATCTTTCAGAGAAACAAGTGAAAGAAGAAATTACAGAAAATATAAAGAGTAAATCTCAGTTTGCCTCTGCAATATTATCTCATTCACCTTCTGCTCAATCAAAACCAAAAGCCACACAGCCTTCACATAGAATACATGCAGTAAATGGAAGGCCAAGGGGGCGACCATCTTCAAGAACATACACTCCTAGATTTGTACGAAAAGAGAATCCACATCCAGTCATAAACATGCCCCCTCATTCCCAGCAGTCTGTGCCGTGTCAAACACATCTCAGCCAGCAGCCTGCAACACCGACTGTGATAATGCAACAAGTTCCGTCCACCAACATGGTGCCAGCTTTTGTTGAAGCTTTTCAACAACAGACAGGTCAGAGTCTGCAGTACATTGCCACCATTGATGCACACAACAATGGATACAACAAAACACCATACCTAACTGCAGCTCCCAATTCTCTGGTGCCAGGGACATTCCAGTTGCAGGCTTCCCCTGAGAATTATGTTGGTCTGCAAAATGGTGGAATCTCAGTTCTCCCTAGTGTACAACTGGCACCCCCTCAGCCAACTGTGATCGGGACACTCATACATCAGACTCCGCCAGCAACAATACAGTGTGTTGCTGCTGAGCAGGTTGTGTTAGGCTCAGCACCTGCAATTGAGATGTACACGGACCAAACAGGAGGCATGTACTTGACTAGTCAACCCATGTATTATGGTCTGGAGACGATTGTAAGTAACACAGTGATGTCGTCAAGCCAGTTTGTGTCAGCAGCAGTGCCTGGTATGATGGCAGCAAGTAGCAGCTTTTCTGCTACCACTACTCAGGTGTTTCAGGCAAGCAAGTTGGTGGAACCAATTGTGGATGTCCCGTCCAGTTTTGTCATCATGAATCCTCATACTGCACAACTTAATCCAGAGTCTGGGATGGGCAGACCAGACATGCTGGGCTGTACATCATCCTCATTACCCATGAATCTTCCATCTCCAGCTGCTCCCCAGCCATCTCCTCGAGTTATTCCCCAAACACAAGCTCCTGCAGTACATAATATTCCATGGTCATATCAAGAATACAGCAGCTCTGAATCATATATGCCTCCAAATGGGGACTTCAAACATTTTACACCCCATACCTCTCAAAATGTAAGAATAAATGTCTCAAATGTTTGCCGGAATGCCCCTTGCACTCCACCTACACCACCAGCTCCTCCGCCTTCCACACATGTACAGCTGGCCCCACAGCCTCCACCAACACCACCACCTCCCCTGCTTCCACGGTCACAGCCCTTGACACAACCATTACTACAGCATAAGACCACTGAATTCATAAAAATTCATGTGCCATTCTCAACAAATGCAAATTCTACTATGCGTAATCAGACCTTAGATTCCACTAAAACTTTTAAAACAAACAACCGTGTGGAGGTTCCCATTCGCACCATTAATCGTGTCTTTCCATTGAAAGTAAATCCATCTTTAGGTATTCCACAACCAGTTCCTAAAATAAATAAGGAACCAGGGTCAGATGAGGGAACACATAACAAACCTATCCAAGGAACAGATGGCAGAGTTACCATAATTCCCATTCCACAGAACAAAACTGGGAACAGTAATAGTAATAAACAACCAAACTCACTAAAATTGGTATTCCAGAAACAAGCACAGGATGGTTACTATAAGATAAGTAATCAGAATCATCAGTCTAAACTAATAGATACACCAAAGAGTGGTACTGTGTCTAATCAGCCATTGTCAGTCAGAGCTGTGAAAATAAAACCTCGTGTGGTTGCTGTCAGTGAGAAACAAAAAGAGGCACAACTTATAGGTACACCTGTTTTACAGACAGAGAGTAAAATGAACATACAAAATGGTACAACAAACACATCACACCTTCAGAATGGAAAGGTGCCTCCTTTCCAAGCAAAACATTTATTAGGTAGCAATGCCTCACCAACCATCACATACGAAGTACACTCACAGGATGGCTTCAGTTGCACATCGTCTTCCATCACAGAAGTGTGGCAAAAAGTCTTTGAAGCAGTACAAGAAGCAAGGGTATTACACAAGATGCCACGGTTGCCTGAAAATCCATTTAGTGCTACTTCTGCTGGTCTGCAGATGTTGGGTTTTCGGCACAATGCACTGCGGTACCTAGTCGAACAACTGCCAGGTGTTGGACGTTGTATAAAGTACAAACCACGTTATCACAAGCTCCGCCCACCTGGGCCTGATGAAGATGTAGATGCATTGCCACGAGAGAATCCTTCAGGTTGTGCCCGATGTGAACCCTTCAAGGTACGATCACCGTATGACATGTTTAGCTGGCTGGCTTCACGGCACCGGCAGCCACCAAAGTTCGTGATATCTACTGATGGTGAATCTGCAGTAAGCAACAGGTACTTTTCAATTTCTTTTTTGAGTGTTGCTACATTTCAAATGATCAGTAGGATATATGAATGTTTTAACAAATGTTATGATCATATTTATTATATAAATTTTCTGTGTTTTTCTTCTGTCTTTCTAGACAAATAATGGAATAGTGCCATAAAACTTGCCATGTCTGTTTTCTTCAATAACTTCCTTAGTTATAGGTTTTATCAAGCATCATGAAACACAGGATGTATGAGACTGCTTAGGATGAAAATACATTTTTTATTGTGCCAAGTAATCAGCAGAATGATCCAGTCTTTTCCCAGTGCTTAATGAGTTTCAAAATGTTCATGGTGTAACATTTATTTTGCATTAATTTTTTATGCTGTCTGGATCCTGTTATTTACATAGGAATGGTTAATTTTGTGGTCATTTGATGCACTGAATATGTGATGACATAATGGGATGTGTTTGGAAGAGGAAAGTAGAAAATGTCATATTCCAGTTTCTTCTTTTATCAATGGGGAGAGACAGGATCTCATGTTATCATGTTCTGGGACAGCAATTCATTTTATATATCACATCATGCAGGACACTTTGTTTCAGTGCCTGTACATGGTGAACTGTGTTGACTCTTCTCTTGTGCCGTTGTCAGACGACTAATCCAGAAAATGGTAGCCCTTAATCATGTATGCTTCTGTTGTTATCTTGGTTTTCGTTTATAGTGTTATGCTATAATTTCCATTATGCAAGTTGTAGTCTTTTTCTCTAACATGTACGAGGCTCGTCCACATAGTAAGTTTCCCTGGGGCCGTTTACAGAAACAAAACACAATTTCATGGAAATATTTATTGCAACAGATACAGCAAGTGTCCAGCTATTTTTCAACATATTCGCCACCAGAATTGAGACATTGGTCATACCGTGGGACCAACTTTTGAATACCTGTGTCGTAGAAGTCGGCCGCCTGGGATTGGAACCACTGTGTGACAACCATCTCCGCCTCTCTGTCATTCTCAAAACGCTGACACTGACCGGACAGGAATTTCTTGAGGTGTAGGAAAAGATGGAAATCACTGGGAGCGAGATCCGGGCTGTAGGGTGAATGATTAAACACCTCCCAGCTGAACTCCTGCAGGAGACTTGCTGTCCGTCGAACCGTGTGCGGCCTAGCGTTATCACTGACCGCACTACACAGTCGGCGGGAGCTGGAATAAGAACCTCCATCTTCAACAGCCGCAACGATGCTACTGTGAGAACGCGCGAGTCTCCTGCAGGAGTTCAGCTGGGAGGTGTTTGATCATTCACCCTACAGCCCGGACCTCGTTCCCAGTGATTTCCATCTTTTCCTACACCTCAAGAAATTCCTGTCCGGTCAGCGTTTTGAGAATGACAGAGAGGCGGAGATGGTTGTCACACAGTGGTTCCAATCCCAGGCGGCAGACTTCTACGACCCAGGTATTCAAAAGTTGGTCCCACGGTATGACAAATGTCTCAATTCCGGTGGCGAATATGTTGAAAAATAGCTGGACACTTGCTGTATCTGTTGCAATAAATATTTTCATGAAATTGTGTTTTGTTTCTGTAAACGGCCCCAGGGAAACTTACTTTTGGGACGCGCCTCGTATTACTTTTTACACAAAATATATACTTTAAAACTATTTGTTTTGCAAAGAACTACATGAAACCTCAGATTTTTTAATAAACAATGTCAATGAGGCAGGTTTGAAAATTCTTCAATGTTCCTGATCTTGAATTTAGACATTTCAGCTCATTCCTCATTTGAATTCTTCAGTAAGTCGTATGCATGAACTTGTATAAATTTGTGCAAGTCACAGATTGATGCTACCAAAGCAAAATATGCCTTATGTAGGATTTGAGGTTTTCACAGCGGTGAGTCTGAAGATTGCTGTCTTCTGGATTATTGCGCGGTTTGGAAATCTACCAGACCACATGGTGCAATAACTCGGAAGACAGCACTCTTCAAAATATGCCTTCTGTTACTAAATCATGTTCTGTGGGCAGTGATGATTTTTCAGTGACCAAGTGCTTAAAAACAAAGAATAAGAAGGATTTTAGGTTCTCACAGCAACAAATAATAGATGGCTATCTTCTGGGTTGTAGCACTGTGCAGTCTGGTAGAAGTTTACCAGCAGCTGGTGCTTGTAACTGACCTTTCACCTCTGTCAAATACTGAGGTTAAGAATGTGTGGCGAGTCTCCATTCTCCCATGTATTCGCAGCTTGGTGCTTAATTAAGCATAAGGATGTGTTCTTGGCTTGGTGCTTAATTAAGCACAAGGACAACTTTAGGAGCATTCTACCACCTCAGGTTGATATGTTTGTAGAAGTCTGTTTCAAAAATGTCTGCACACTCACTAGCTGGGCATTTTACTTGTATCTCAGTGGGCTGCATTATCCCACTATATATTGCATTGTTTTTCCTTTATAAGCAGTAGTCTTTCCTAAATGACAGAGAATCCATAATAAATTATTTATTTCTCTCTTCACTCTAACTGCATGGAGCAGAATTTTTCTTCAAAAGCTATGCTCACCTCTTCACTCAAGAGCCATTGCTGTATTTACCAGAATTTTCTTTTCCTCAAGGTTTTCATTTCTAATGTTTTGCTGTGTGTATCATCTTGTGACATAAACAAAAACATTTACAGGCGAGCTACCAGTTCGAACCTGCCGATGGCAATGCGTTTCCGACATCTCAAAGAAACGTCGAAAGAAGCTGTAGGCGTTTATCGTTCTAACATACATGGACGGGGACTGTTTTGCCTGCGGGACATAGAAGCAGGAGAGATGGTAATAGAATATGCAGGAGAAGTGATACGTTCCATGTTGACAGACAAGCGGGAGAAGTATTATGAATCAAAAGATATTGGATGCTACATGTTCCGTATAGATGATCAGTTGGTTGTGGATGCTACAATGAGAGGAAATGCTGCAAGGTTCATCAATCATTCATGTGAGGTAAGGTACTAATTTTTAAGTAATTCTGAGATAGAGTGAGAAATTTTTATTTCACACTTAAAGTCCAATTTAGTTCTTTAGTTTTGTCAATTTAGAGGTAAGATAGGTTAGTTTATAAATGCTGAATTATTTTATTACTTTCACAATACATTAATCCAACAATTTCAAGAAATTTTACTGATTTTGGTGTGAGTATTAAACTATTGATTTGAGTGTAAACCTTAGAATATTGTAGCAGTTGAGCATGTGGTCATCATATCACAATTGGTACTGTGTGGGAGGAGTATATCTTTGACAAATTATTTTGAATCTGAATTACTTCGCTGAACCAGATGTGTTAGAATAAGCCTCAGGACTCAAGTATAATGAATGTCTGATTTTGAATCCCGAGAAACTAAACAATTTGGAAGTTAAAGAACAGTATCTAATTAAAGTGTCACATAGTTTTCTGGCATTGTAAAACAGATGAAAATATGGATAGTATTAGAGAAGTGAGTATATCAAAACTTATACAAAGAGAGTCTAGGTTGCTGCAAGTTAGAGCACCATAAACCATGGTTTGACAGAGAGATGTCAAAATTAATAGATCAAAGGAATATTGCAATGGGAGCAAAATCCAAGTCAGTTGAATAGAGATAATCTGAACAATGTAAGATGTAAAATTAAAACTTTCAGAAACAGAGGAATAAAATATCTGAAAGAAAAAATTAGTGTGTTTGAAACAAACAGTAAGAACAAAAATATTGGTGGGTGTGAAATTTATTAAGTTTCACATCATCACCATATTTGTGATTATTTACTTACAGTTTTGTATGCATAATTTGTAGACATGTTTATGATCTACTCCATACAGAATTTCACATGCCTAGCTCCAATGGTTAATTAGTTGTCACAGTGAAACTAAAATCCCAAGAAAATGTTTGCATGGCCATCATGTTCTTTAACTTTTTACAGAAATTTTATCTTGACAAAAGTTTCGTGTATTTTAATTTTCTTGTACCATCATTTCAGGACCTTAATTGGCACTGGTGTCACTACCATCTCACAATTTTTTTGTGTCCGCCATGTTATTACTGAGTGTAGAAAATTAAAAAGTACAAGTTTAGGATGCCCTCCGGTAGCATAATGTCATTCGAAGTTTCATAAAAATCTATCCACCGGTTCTCAAATTGAAACATAGATAGGTGATTGGTCATATATGCATTCATTTTATACTCATCATGAAGTGAACACATAATAAGAACCAGAGGATAAAAGTCTTTAATGGTATAATGGTTTGTATATGCTGTTTTGAATTTGTTCCAGCCCAACTGCTATTCACGGGTGGTGGACATCTTAGGAAAAAAGCATATCCTGATTTTTGCTCTCCGTCGCATACCACAGGGAGAAGAGCTAACCTATGACTACAAGTTTCCATTTGAGGATGTTAAAATCCCTTGCACATGTGGTTCACGGAAGTGTCGAAAATACCTAAACTAAAGAGGAATTTCTTGTTATCAGTATTTTTATATTATTCTGCAGTTCATCATCTGGTTCACTATGAGGCATTTGGATGACACATGGTTTTATCACTTTGGTCTGCAGGTTTATATAATTTTCAGAGAACTGAGATGTATGAAAGGTGCTTGATGTATGTAATTTGTAAGCTGAATGACCTTGCATTCTGGTGGCCTATACTGATCAGTGTTGATGTTGGCAGTTACAATGTTTGGGGTACATAACTCACAGAATAGTGGATTTTAAGTATGCTTTTTATTGTATGACACTTAAACCACTGTTCTGATAGGGTTTAAGTGTAAGAAAAATCTGTCCTGCACATAATGCACATAATGTTTTGCATTAAGCTCTAAGTATTAAGCTAATACATCAGTACTCGGGTAGACATTTTCTAAGACTCCAGCTGAGCAGTTGAAAATAATAGTTGCTCGTTATGATATAAGTAAATTTTTTGTACATTATTGTAAAAATGAAAATAACACATTGTAATGTTTAGTCATAAAAGGAAGGTACTTAGTGCGTTCTAAATTAATTTTTACCACTATGTGGTAGATGAATACCAGTTTGCACTATTTTATTATGAGGGCCTGTGATCTTTATAGTCATATCTTAAGATGATGTGCTATCAACGAAAATGTGAATCCAGTTGGGTCACAAATATTTGTATACATTTTATCCCGTGGATACTCCTTGTGATACTTTTCTTGTAATTTTGGCTCCAAAGCAGCAGCAGGTTTTTAGGTGGTTGAGTTGTGAAGTGGAGCCATCTTGTATATTAGTATATTAATTAATACCGAAGGGTACAATATGTAAGTGTGATAAGAACAATTTATTGAAGACTGGTGCTTCAAGGAACACCTGTGAATTTAATATTTTTTTTCTGAATATTTTTCCCTGTTGATTATTAATCATGTCACATGTAGATTTCAATTTAAAATGCAATGTAAATACTTATATTTGCATGGCAACATTTCACTTTTTTCTTTCTTGTATGAGTCAATTCATGTACACCATTACAGATAAATAATACACTACAGTCATACACAACCTTACCAGCTTTGTAATAAATATGTTTTTTGTATGGAACACAGTGAATTGATGTCTTCTTCTTTGTTCTTATTTAATAGGCAACAGCTTGTATATAATTACTCTGTTGTGCTTTATTCATCATTTAAGTTTTTATATATTACAACTACAGCATTTTGGAGGTTGGTTCTTGTTCTGTTGTGAGATGATCAGTGGGTGGATAAAACCCTACTCTGTTGGTTTCCTTCAACCCTTCACTAAGTCAACCATGGAGACTAACAGAGTAGGGTTTTGTCCTACCATTGTCACTTGAAAACAAGTAGAACCAGCTTCCAAAATGTTGAGGTTTTAATTTCAAAACACTTGGACAGTGAATGGAATTATATACATTCTGTAACACCATCATTACATATCTTTAAATTAAGCAACAGTGTGTGTTCATTATTAAAATACATCCAAGAAGAAGTGCCAGTCCCTCTTGCCCAGTTGTATCAAAGTACTTTGACAATGAAGCAGATTTAAAACACTTATAAAACAGTGGTTAAATAACCCATTTGGAATAATTACAATATTAAATATGGAATTTCATTAAAGTATCATTTTCATTCCTGTGATTATTCATTTATCATATTTAATTTTTCATAAAAGTCACAGTTTTGACTCATCCACAGAAACAATGTTATTAGAGAAAGTAGAGGTGAGTGATATATTGATTACGGTGATTTTAAAACTTCCCTGAAAATCACCACAGTTACTTCATATCTGAGTACTGATTATAGGCATCAGTGTTTATAGATTGCTTGTTTGTGGCAGCGCTAAATAGCTAATTTGCCAGGAACTACTTATTTGTCACTATAACTGGTAACTGCCATCTAGTGATTACTGGAGTTACTGTTTACATTTCATTGACTAGTAGCTGCAGAAGATAGCTAGGTTGTTAGTGACCAGTTATTTGATTTACTGATACCTGCCATAACTTGCAGACTGATGAATGATACAATGGAAGGCAATCTCTTCACCTCTCTTCTTTTTGTTCTTGCCTTATTTTTGTGTATTTGAATTTTTTTAAGAATATTGACATCACTTATGCATGGTTTTTTTATCCTTTCTTGGACTTTTTTGCATTTACTTTACATATAAACTATGATAAATGCAATGTATAAATAGTAAAAATCATAAATCTCCAAAGGGCTTATATATTATTGTTAATACCTCACTGCTGTTTTATTATGTTTTGTCATTTTTTCTATTATTGGAGATCTGAATGGGTTTGCAATTTTTATGTTGTTACCTTTAGGAATTTAGTAACTAAACTGTTTTCACAACTTTTTGAATTGAAAAGATGTGTCTTGTATATCAAAAATCTAGCAGAGTGCAGTCTTAAAACTATGACCTTAGAAGTTGATGCATCATCATTTAATAATTATGGCAATTTATGAATGAATACATAGCTCAATAAATACATTATTTAATTCATCATCTCATGTGACAGCATAAATGTTTTCCCCCTACTTTCCCAGGCTTATAGAGCCATACAAGTAACTGGAAAAAAGGACAGCTAGTGATCATGATCGTTGCTTATAATAATTGCCACCTGCAAGTAACTTTCACTGAAACCATGGTCAATGAAAGATCACTGGATTGTTCATCTCTTAAATTACTTAAACTAATAAAGCTAATGCTTTCCAGGACTTGAGATTTATTTTATTTTCTTTCTATACCCTTTTCACTCCTATGTGGAGCATAGGGGCCTCCGTTCAGATGTTTCTTGATCTATTTAGACATTTGGTAGGACTCCTTGGATGAGTGATAAACCTACTGCAAGGCCTCTATCTGTGCACAGGACAGCACAACACAAAGACGCTGACAAACATCCATGCCTTGAGTGAGATTCAAACCCACAGTCAAGATTTATTTAGTGTTTTGAAAATGACATCACTTCATCCTCAGTTTATGTTTGAAATTTTAACAACAGTTATTACTTTGAAAGATGCCACTGAGACCCAGCTACATCCTGACAACTTCAACATGAGATTTACTCTTAGTCAGTCATGGAACCCAGCCACCAATGATAGAAGGATGGACAGATGACTGCCAGCAGTTTAAAATGTGTAGGTTAAACAGTGTGATAACTCACCATTGAACTTCACCCACTGTTCTTATTGGTTCTACCAGATAAGGAAACAGGGTTGTGAGAGCCAGTCATGGGGTAAAAATAAAATGGGTAGTCACGTTCATCACATCAACCCTGATGAGTTCAGCCTGTTTCAGAGAGATCCCAGACACAGGATTTATGCAAGATGGTATGCCCGTGAAATGAACATGAAAGCCAATGAGGTATATTAAACAGCAAAGAATGTATCTGTGTAAACAATTGGAGCTCAATCTGCAGTTGTCTTCTACAGCTGTTCATGTCTTTAAAGGATAACTTATGGTACATCCATATTATTCATTGTGAAAGCTGGAGTGGCAGTAGGGCCATGTAATTGGCCAATTTATAAGAATGTAATTAAGCATGACATAAAGGTAACTTCGAGTTTTGTATCCGATTTACATATTCAGATTATTGCTGGCGTCATGGGAGGACGGTATAAAGGATGTAACTTCCTACATATGGAAACTGGCAAACAATGGGAAGAAAACACAACTTGTTCATTACTTTAATGACGTACACAGCAGATGACTGCGATAGTATCAGAATGACGGTACGTGGGGCCAGAATATGTGCCAGAATTGCCAAATATACTATAAATAATACTTAAATGAAAATAATCACCACGTTCATGGGGACGTCTTCAATAAACAAAAATTTTCTTGATGCGTCTGACCATGGGGCGGAAATTTTAAAATGCCAAGTTATAACTAACTGGGCCCAGTTGCTTTTCTTCTAATACAATGCTTTCATTGTTTACTACAAATCTGAATTTATGTCATTGACCTGGCAACACTGCGGGAAACTCGTATTAGAGGATGGCGTGTAGCATAACCTAGCAGGAGTGGATATACGCTGTTATATATGCTAACTCCGGCCGGCTTCAAATGAACGAAGACATTTTTGGCCCCCGTTTTCCATGTAAATGCATTTTCAATTTGCACCAAAACTTGAAAAATTTTATATTAATCCTAGTGTTTCACTTAAATCTTAATTGAAATTACGATACGGACTGGTTTAAACCGCAATTCCGTCCTTTATTTACGCATTACCGTGGTGAAAATAATAAAATAACGGACTTGGATACTTGACATACATGACTGTTACACTGTTTCCAATTCTGGATGTTTATACGTGTTTCCTTACGAAATTTTTACCACAATATATAGGCTAATACCACAGAATATCTTACGTTCAATTAACAATAGGACTAAAAATGGCGATATTTACTGAAAGATGTGCACGGTCTTTCAGATCATCACTAATTGTCAAGTAAGCCGTGATTTAATAGTGCCTTTGTTCAGAATAATACAAATTATTGGTGAACAATTGCATATTTCATCTATATAATTCGTCGACAGTGATATATGTAATATTTGTACATGATGTATAAAACGTCAAACACCAAAATATTGAAATTATACAGTATATCTTCATTCCTCCCCTCTATTACTCACGGCATAGTACCTTCGATAGTAACCAATCATAGTACTCATCTCATGTAAAATTATACACGTGACCACAGATACGCCAATAGTCGACTGGGTTAGTAAGACTCATTCACCACTGTTTTTAGGGTTAGGGTGATTCTGGAAGGGGGAAGGAGATGTTATGATGGTTTGTAGGTGTTCATGTGTTAGATGTCAATATTTTTGTCCTGAAATTCAATGTTTAATCATAAATATAACTGTATTCAAGAATCAAGGTTAGTTTCTGCTAGGTGCAATGTTGGTGGAAAAACTTTACTGAGGTTAGTGGACTTAATATACACAAAATAACTGACATTCTTAGTGAAATGTTTATTTACTGCCTATGACAACAGGGGGGGAAATACTACGATGAGTCGTGTAGTAATCAAGGAAGTAGTTACTGTATTCAAATAATGACTAGATATGAGTTTAGAAAGCTGTGCACATGTATAAATTAACAGTGGATATCGTATAGTAAATGCGTGAAGTTAATTCTCAAGGTATCGTTCTGTAAACGTTGAGTAGAAGATACTCAAGGTACTGGAATGTGTTGAGGTTCTGTTCCATTGGAATAAATCTATCTTCGATTAAATTGAAGTATCTGCCGCTATACTGCCTACCTTCTGTCGGTGTTATTTGCTACATAAATGCCTATCTAAGTAGTGTAGTGCAACTTATTGTTCATAAATTTTATGTTACTTTTATGTACCAGTGATTATATTGTTCCTAAAATTTTCTTGTCTTCTTGCACCAGTGATTATTTGGAGCTGTGAAATAATTTATTATTAAACATAGTGGTTATGAGTGGCAGCTCTGAAATATGAACTTGATTGTAATAATTATGGTATGTGTCAATTTCCCTTTTGACTTGAATTACCTTATAAGTTGAACTGATACTGGCACACTTGTGTGTACATAGGCAAGAGCTTAGTGTAAATTTAAGGAATTTAACATTATGTACATACTTAACAGGTACTTCAACATTGATTTTAAACTTTGAATTGTTCTAATTCTGAAACTCTATAGCTGACATGTGGGGAACAGTGTAATGAATGAAGACATTGGCACTTGAAAGCGTGGCCTTGGGTTTGCCTCGGAACTGCCATGAACCGGCGTGGAGACGGGCGAGTCCAGAGACGCAGTGAGCGCAACACCCGACAAACTCGGGGAAGGAAAAGACTTCCTAATGATGGTGATATTATCAATGATCCATCAACCCCAACTGCTCCACCCATTGCAACACTGCAGCTGTCACAAGAACAGAAGATTGATGTTGATGTCGCTGTTCATCATAATTCTGCATCTGTAGTAAGTTGGTATTTGAATAGAATTTATTTACATTTCTTAGATTCTTCATAGGCCCAAGCCGAGGATGTAGAACATGTCATAGCACAAATACAATACTTGTTTCTTATACAAAATAAATTATATAACTATGACAGTAATTTACAGCTAACTACATTATTACTACAAAAATAATAACAGAAGAAAGCATAACCACTATTGCTTACATATATTTATAATAGCTGAGACTTTTTTGCTGAGGTAAATTCTTCTGTAGAGTAGGAGTCAGACAGGAGATACTCTTTTAGTGCTGGCTGGAACTCTTATATGTCATAATCCAGTCTTCATATAGTGAGGGGGGTGTCAGAAGGTTACTGAATAGCTTAATTCCAGTACAGTAAACTCCTTTTTGATATTTATATCTGTATCTTGTACTTATATTGTAGATATTTGAGTTTGTTTCATATTTTCAAGTGTTGTTTACTACACATGATTATGAGAGGAATAATTCACTGGCTAGTAGAAGAATATTAAATTTCTAAAACAATTCTCTACATAAGGCTCTCCTTTCAATGCCTGCCTTTATTCTAATGATTTTGTTTTGAATGTAAAGTACTTTTTTGCTATTGTCTGTTGAGTATGGGTTTAGACTGAGAGTTAATGGTTGGTGTTAGATTATTGATATAAATGAGGAGAAGCAGAGGATCAAGTATTGAACGTGGAGGAACTCCCCAATTGGAATAGGTGCTATTATTTGAATCTGGTGATTTTATTTCTGCTTGTTGTTTGAGATATTATTTTATTATGTTATGTATCCAGTTGCAATTTTATTATGTTATTTGAAAATACACTAAATTTCTACATTGCTTAGATGTCCCTTTTTGCCTTCTTAAATACCGGGTCTACAATTTATGAGGCTGCAGTCATGCTTGCATTGCTTGGTCGGCCGGCGCTCTGTTGATATGGGCGGGAGTTGTGCGCGTTCTTCCGGTGGGTGACCGGCGAATCAGTTTCAGTGCCGCTAGTAACAGCAAAATACGAATATTTCTCTTCACTAATATATGTTATTACATTAATTGTTCTTACCTTAAATCACAAAATATGTTCAAAGTGACTTCTTTGTGCTTGCAAGCAAGCTTCACATCTCGTTAACATGTTTTGATATACTTGACGAAGCTCTTCTTGGGATATTGCCGAAATCAGTTGTCGAATATTTTCTTTAAGTGCTTCTGTAGTGTGCAGATAAATTATAAACGTTATATAAATTTTATACTTAGACACTTTTTCCTAGAAATGACCGATGAAGAAAAGACTTACGGTTTCTTCATGCAAGGCAATGCTACAGCTCACACAGCTGATCAGTCAATGTTAGCATTAAGAGAAGTGTTTGGTGAACAAGTTATCAATTAGTGGCCTCCACGTTCCCCAGACTTAAACCCGTGCGATTTTTACCTGTGGGACATGCTGAAGAACAAAGTTTATGTAAACAATCCACACACTGCAGAAGCACTTAAAGAAAATATTCGACAATTGATTTCGGCAATTTCCCAAGAAGAGCTTCGTCGAGTATTTAG